AACACCGCTGGTCCCAGGCATCCAGTCTGAAAAACCACCCTCTGTCTCCTACTGTAAAGCTTATTTTGTATCCAATTGGCAAGCTCACCCTGAATCCCATGTGATCTAACTTTACTAATTAGTCTACCATGTGGAACCTATCAAAGGCTTTACTAAAGTCCAAGTAAATAATGTCTACCACTCTTGCCCTCATCAGTCTTTTTGGTTACATCCTTAAAAGACTCAGCCGAGTTTTTGAAACATGATTTGCCTCTCAAAAGAAAAGTTGACTATCCCTAATTGATCCTTGCCTCTCCAAAACATGTAAATCCTATCTTTCAGAATCACCTCCAACAATTTAGCCACCACCAATGTCAGACTCTCGGGTCTACAGTTTTCTCCTTACACCTTTTCTTGAACAATGGTGCAATATTAGCCATCCTCCGGTACTTCATCCATGTTTATAGATGATACAAACATTTCTGCAAGTGCCCCACAATTTCCTCCATAACTTCCCACAACATCCTAGGATATACTCGATCAAGTCCTGAAGATTTTTCTACCTTCATGTTTTCTAAGAGCTCCAGCACTTCCTCTTCTATAAAAGGAACTGTTTTCAAAGTGAGTTCTCTAGCCTCCATTTCTTTCTCAACAGGAAAAACTGATGCAAAATATTCATTTACTATCTCTTCTACCTCCTGAGGTTCAACACAAAGACAACCTCATTAATCTTCAAGGGGTCCAACTCTCTCTCTCGTTGCTGTCCTGCTCTTAATGTATTTATAGAATTTTTTTGAATTATCTTTAACCTAATCTGCCAAGACTATCTCATGTCCCATCTTTGCCTTCCTGATATCCTCCTTGAGAATGCTCCTACAGTCTTTATAGTCTTCAAGAGATTGTTGATCCAAGTTGTCTATATCTAATATGGTTCTTTTATATTCTTGACTTCAATATCTTTATTCATCCATCATTCCGTAATCTTACTATCCTTGCATTTCACTCTAACAAGAACATAATGCTTCTGAACTCGTGTTATCGCACTTTTGAAGGCCTTCTACTTGTCAGTCGTCCCTTTACCTGTGAACGTCTATTCCAGTCAACTTTTCAAAGCTCTTGTTTCATACCCTTAAAATTTGTGTTACTCCACTTAAGAACTTTAACTTTAATGGAAACCTTATCCTTTTCCATAATTATTTTAAAACTAATAGTATTATGATCACTAGTTCCAAAGTGTTCCCCTACTAACACTTTAGTCACCTGTCTGCCTTTCTTCTGAAGAGAAGGTCAAGTTTTGCTCCTTTTCTAGTAGGAACATTTACATATTAATAATTAAAATCCTCTACTATTATTCTCATATGTTTGAGATCTCTCTACATATTTGCTCTCAATTTCCTTCTGACTATTGGAGGGGGCCTGTGGTTCAATACGTCAATGATCATCCCAATCTTATTTCTTATGTCAACCCATATATTTTCACCAAATGATCCCTCAAATATCTTCTCTAATTACAATAGTATTGTTTTCCTTAATCAGAAATGCCACTCGCCCTCCTCTCTCAGGTCTCTTTCTATCCTTCCTATAACATCTAAAACCTGGAACGTTGAGCTGCCAGTGCTGTCCTTCCCTCAGCCAAGTTTCTGTAATAGTTACAATGTCCCAGTACCATGTTCCCATACATGCCCTGAGTCCATCATCCTTACCTGTAAGACTTTTTGAATTGAAGTAAATGCAATTTAATTCTTCGGTTACTTTGTTCTCTAACTTGCTGTTGTCCGTCTCTTTAGGTTAACTTGCTCTTTTATGATTCAGAACCATCCTCGTCATTTTTTCTATTTTCACTGTTACTTAGGAAGGCCTAATCCTTGCTCTCTAAAAGTTTTTAGACTTTCGAAATAGTACTGGAAAATCTCCCCGCTGGATATTAGCCCCTTTCCAGTTCAGGTGAAACCCATCCTCTTTGAACAGATTTTTTCTGTGCCAGAAGAGATCCCAATGATCTGAGAAACTGACTCCCTACACATTGCACCACCTCTTCAACCATTGATTTATCTACCTATCATTTGATTCCTTCCCTCATTAGAACTTGGCACCGGAAGTAAACCAGAGATTATTACTTTTGATTCAGAGATAGTAGGACTTTTGATCTGTTTTTTAACCTTCTACCTAACATTTTATGTTCATTCCGCACAACCTTTAATCCTTTCCCTAACTGTGCCATTCCTAACAATCTGCTTCAAACATTTAAAACATCTTTAACCCTGGCACCATGAAAGCAACATATTATCCTAGATTCTCTCTGGCTGTTCATTATACTCTTCTCTAGGGACAAAGTGTCTGCAGAACCTTAATCAGAAACCAACCTACAGTTAACTTCCAGGCCTGACCTCGTGAGAAAGCAAAAGCTTGTGTTGGTCTATTTTCCTTTTCAGCTGTTACCCACAGCTCAAAAGTCATCTTTAGCTCACAGTTCCCAGTTCCCAGTTCACAGGTCTAAGCCAAAATTGATAAGGGAATAAAAGTAATAAAATATCAGTGAGGGCTCTAACACATACTACTTGCTTTCTTGCCTCTCCTTCACCCCCTCTCCTTCCCCTCCCCTCCCCGCTACCACCCTAACCCAGTCCTCACGCACTCTCCCGTTCATTTCCAAGCAACTGGACTACCTACAGTGCCAGGGCGTTGTCTCTAGCTGGTTTCCACAGGGAAGCCGTCACTCTAGCCATTGACGATGTCAGTAAATGTTTGCAAGTGAGATGCACGTGGGGCATCCCTTCACTACCTCTCCTTCTGTCTGGTGGGCACCCATTACTCTCTGTCTACGTTTTCTTAAACTACAGGGTACCAAGTCCTGGAGCATGCTATCAACAAACCTCTCACCTTGTGAGTGTACTGTAGTGCCCCTAGCTGCCGCTCAAAACTCTAAAGCCCAGAACTCAAGTTGCTGCAGCCAGCGACATTTCCTGCACTCTGTTCGGAGCCTCTAGGATTTCCCATAAGGTTTGGGATGTGCAGATCACAGGCTTGAGCACCCCAAACATACCTTAACTAAGGAGAGCATGGATCTTTGGTTTTATTATACCAATACTTCTAATTACACGAGAATAAAACTTTTATAGTTTATTTTACGTCCCCTGCGTTGCATGTCGATCTACCACCAGTTTGTCTGCTTCTCTGCACACACTTTGTGATGCTGACTGCCTGTCACAGGATCCTCACTTCCACACTCCTCCTGCACCAATTCTATTCATGCATCAACCCTCTGCTCACTGACCTGCATTGGCCACCAGCTCAATTTTAAAATTCACATCCTTATTTTCAGATTCCTGCATCACCTTGCCCCTCCCTTTCTCTGCAGACATTTCTACTTCTTTATGATTATGCCTACCTAACTTTGATTTTTGGTTTTCTTCACCATTGGAGGTTATACCTTCAACTTCACAGACCTGAAGCTCTAGAATTCACATCCTAAACTTTTCTCTCTTCCTCCTCCTTCAAGAAACTTCTTAACACCGAAGTCTTGCCAATGTTTATGGTAATCTTGTTATATGTCTTTGTCTCAAACTTTGCTTGATAGTCACACCTGTGAAATGGCCTGGGACATGTTGCAATGGAAAAGTTGTCCTGTGTCATCATTGTTGTAGTATAGAGCATCTTTTTTGACCAGTGATTTACTTTAAAATAATGTCTCTGCGCTCTGTAAAAAGAAACTAAATGAGCATTAGCCCCTCTGGCTACAAATGTACTTCTGTGCAAGTATATAAAACACACAACTCAATACTGTTAGGAATGGCATTGGTGAATGAGGTTTTTCCCTTCAGATGTAAATATGCATCGTTTTATTTTCTGTTGTCTGTCATCTTAAGAAAATGATTGTGAATTTGTTTCTCACCGGAGTATTTTTATTACTGTGTCACACTAAGTGAAAATCCTTTTCACTAAAGAAATCTTCATTGAATGATGCCTTGAGAGTTAATTAAAACTTGTAGTTTGACCTACAATATGAAAATAGAATACAACTGAGCTGAATTAACAGCCAGAAATTGAGTTGCTTCAGTGTCATCAGTGTTTCTTGGTTAGAAAGTTGGAATATGAGGGCGGTTTCCACTCTTTACAAGGAACAGATTAGACGTATTGACCACATTCAAATAGCTCATTGACATTCACCACCTAACCTTGCACGATGTGAAAGGACCGTCAATACACCAAACTATTCTCCAGCAAAAGTCAGTTTTTTTGAGTGACATTGTGAAAAATTGGAGAAAGTTACACAATTAATTCCTCACTTAGTGAGCTTTCTGGCTAACTCTTATCTTTAAAAATTAGTAAATTGGAAAGTTTGCATAACTTTTGTATTGAGAAATACCCATGAATTTTCTGTTTGAATCAGAGCATGCACGATGAAAATCCAAACTTGTGCTCCATGCTTAAATGTGCACTTGATGTTACTAAGACCAAACTTTATTATTATCCCTGTATACGTTGCAGCAGGAATCCTATATTTCATGCATGCAGAATTAAATTTATCAAATTTGATGGAAACAAAGCTAAGATTTTAAATTTTTGCAGTTGTGTGGGATGCAGATTGTAATTCAAAACTAAAATTTGTAGAATCACATGGTTTATTCCTTAGAAAGTATTTATGAGCAAGGAAAAATTTGGCCTTTCGCTAGTCCGATATATAATTTTCTGGAATTGCCAATTTTTTGTAGACATTCATTTTGTGACTAAGTCAAGTAATAGTGCATATTACATTGTCAATAATTTGTAGAGTCTGTCTGTTCATTTTGTATGAAGGAGGTGCCTCCTGGAGATATGGGAGGAACGCACAACTGTGTTTAAATCAGAGTCATCAGTGCTGGAATTTGTCAATGTGGTTTCAGTTTTGATTATCCCATACATGTCATAAATATCAATTTAACAAACATTTATCATGACTTTTCATAAAACACACTGGTCTTGACTTTACCATCATTAAAGATGCAAATTAGTCCCCTAATTTTCATCTACATTACACACAGGTTATGAGCAGTCGTTTTCTTCCCTATGATGCCATCAATACGCATGCAGTACTTAGCCTTGATGAAGACACTGTTCTTTCTACCACTGAGGTAAGGATACACTATTCTTTTAGCTCCACTTGAAACCTATTGCCCTGTTTGGAAAGTCGTGCAGATCAGTAAGATCCTGAATTTGATTACTCTCTACTGAATTACTTTGGATATCACTGAGGCTGGAGTTGAGGGCACTGCAGTTGGCTTCATGCATCTTGGCTGAGGTGAGAATATTTGGCTAGGATTCCTGTTCCTGATTCCTATTGGGTGTACTGTACTGGAAAGCATTTGTGCATATGTTGAGTGAGGACAGGATAGGGCTCCATTGCAAAAATATAGAGAAAAGACTAGGTTTTAGGATTTGGATCACTATGGCAAAGATCTAGCACAAACATGGGGCCAGCTTTTCATTGTGTTGGGCAGAATCCAAAGTCTTTCAAAAACGGTGGCAGGGGATCACTGGTGTCAGGTAAGGATGTGGGTAATGAGTTCCCACATGCTGCATTCCCATCCTGGTCAGTTTCAATATGAGGTTAAGTATCTCTTACTCCCCCCTCCTGCAATTCCATGGAGTACAATGTACTGCTGGTCTTGTAAACAATCCAACAGAGCCATTACAAAATCAATAGCAACAGTTCAGCCAAGCTTTCATTTCATTAAAATGAAAACACTGAGAAATATTTGAAAATTGAAGAACCGTCTTAAATGGGTTAAATAGCTTTAAATTAAGTATCAGTCCTTCTGGCTTTTGCAATCTCCTGGAGTTCCTGTTGTATATCTGCTAGTTGTGATTTACTAATTCTTCCTGACTTTTCCTTCCATTATCTACATTGTGAAGCAATAGACAAATAGCCACAGAGATAAAGATTAATGTGTTTCAAGAGCCTTCTCCTACCACTGCACCTCATGGTGAGGTTGTTGAGGATATGGCACAATGCAATGGCCTGGGAGAGTAGCGGCTAAGACAGCAACATAAACAGAAATTGTTGGAAAAAGTCAGCAGGTCTGGCAACATCTGTGGAGAGAAATCAGAGTTACAGTTTTGGGTCCAGAGACCCTTCAGAATGGATGCTAGTGGATTACATTCTTGGCTGTTCTATGATATACATATAGGAACACGATTCACATGTGGTCTGTTGATAGAGGGTAGTCATCAGCCATGTGTACAGTGAGTAGCTGTTGTTATGAGCAGTCACCCTTTGCTTTGATGTGAATCAGATGAAAGCATCATGATTGCTGCCATGATAGCAGAGAGTCACCAAACTGAGCTGAGCATAGTTGCATACCAACTGAAGATTTAGAGAGCGCAACCCTTTTTCAGTTATAGTACATCTCCATGAAATTGTGACATCCACGGAGCAAAGTACATTACATAAGTGGTTCCTTGCACCATGGGAAAAGCCCTGATCCTGACAGCTGTATGTCCATCTCTATTTCGAGAGATGATAGTGAAATCTGGTATATACAGCATTTGATGGATGACAATAGACTATAAACTAAAGTATAAAAGCAAAGTATTGCTGATATTGGAAATCAGAAACAAACAGAATGCTGGAGAAACCCAGCAGATCGGGGAACGTCTATGGAGAGAAACGGTGTAAAAATTTTGAGTCAGAATGACTTTTTTCTTTGGGGTGTTAGAAAATTTTTTAAAAATACTTGCACAGATATGGAAGAGGAGTGAAGGAGATGCTGTTGAGGCCCAGTGCATAAGATAGAGTGGTGAAAGAGAGAAAAAAAATGTAAATTAAGGTGTGAAAGGGAGGGAATGAGTCATCCCTACTGAGAGCAAAATAAACAAAACAAACAAAACAAGGCTTTGGGGAGTGGGGGTGAAGAGAATGTAAGAAAAATAGCGAACAGGCATCATGCAGTCAGTTTCTGAAGTTATGGGATTCAATGTTGAGACGTAGAACCTGTGAAGTGCCTAAGTGGAAAATGAGGTGTTGTTCCTTGGACTTGCGCTGTGCTTTGTTAGAACATTTCAGGCCCAAGATGAAAATGATAGCATGTGAGCAATATGATTTATTAAAATAGTAAGCAGCTGGAAGGCCAAGGTCATTCCTACGAACAGGGCAGAGGTATTCCACAAAGCAGTCTACATTTGATCTCGCCAATGTAAAGGCCACTGCATTGTGAGCAGCAAATATCCTAGACTATATTGAAATAAGTACAAGTAAAATGCTGCTTCATCTGGAAGTGTGTTTGGAATCTTGGATAGTGAGGAGGTAAATGAGAAAGTGTTACACCTTCTGCAATTGCTTGGGAAGGTGCTGTGGAAGAGTGGAACAGGGTATCGCAGAGAGAACTGGACCTGCAGTATGCTGACGGTGGAAGATGTATTTTATGGTGACACCTTGCTGGAGATGGTGGAAATCATGCTGGATGATCCTTGTGTGACTGGTGGAATGCAAAATGACAAGGGAATCTCTCTTTTCCCTCCACTCTCTGAATCTCACCCCACCTGCCTCAGTGATTAAATTCTCCACACTGCTGACTCTACTCCATCTTTCTACAATGCTATAAACTTCAGAGGAACTGTAGCTAATGGCCCCCATGACTAGGTGTAATTTTTTTACTCCAAACCCATAGTTGGCTGTTTACAAAATTGGATTGCTGCTACCAAAACAGGATGGAACAAAAATTATGGCACATACCCTTATGTTTGAGTGATGTCCATTGTCTGTGTCAGAATACAATGTAACAACAAAATTGTAGAAGGTTGTCTTTAAAGAAAAATCGATACGGAGAAGAGAATTTGCTTTAAACAATAAGGCACGTTCAAGCCTGTTAATTCGTTTCTATTACTATATTGTGACTCTTCTACTGTACAATGAAGTTAAGAGAAAAATTTTTGAAGGGAAGAGCAAAATTCCAAAAACTCTTCCATTTGCTTTTGATTTCTTGAGCTCTGTGGGTAATTAATCAATTCTTGGAATTTCAGCAACTATATTATGTAAAAGTCATAATCTATAATTGTCTTTCTTTATGTTTACAATAAGTTTCATAGCATTGGACATTGCCCATTTGTGTAACATCACGTGTAAATAAAATTGGTTGGATTTTAGCAACAGGAGAAATGCTACTAATTAAAATCATTTTGCTGGTATCTTAACATTTGTAGGATGTGCATATGTACGTGCTGAGCTGGATTATGCAGTGATGATAATATAATTCAATCATTTTGTCTTCAATTACTTCTGTATTTTAGACATATAGCATAATCAATTTCCTTCCCCCTTCGCTAGCTCTTCCGTGAGATTTGCATGCTACAGTTAAAATCCTCTATCTGATTATAGTGTCCTCCACTGTGAAGACCAATGTAAAATCAAGTATCTGCTGTTTCCCTGTTCCTTGAAATCAGTTCCCCATTTGCATCATCAAGGATTCCAGTTATCTTAGTTACTCTTCTTATATATCTGTAGAGCTCATCTTGTTTGGTTTTATATTTCTTGCCAATTTACTTTCATAATCAATTTTCTCCATCTTTGTTAGCTTTTCAGGCATCCACTGCTGCTTCATTTAAAAAAAACAAAAATCCCAAGCCTGCCACTAGTTTTTGCCTCTTTGTATGTCTTAGTTTTTGATTTGATACCCTCTTTGACTGCTTCTGTTATTTTGATTCTTATCCAGACTACTTTTAGAGCAGTTTTTTTTTGCTGAGCATTAAGAAATGTATGCTTAAATGTCTTCCACAGCTCATCTTCTGGCTTTTCCCTTCAACTATTTTCCAAGCCCAGTTTAGACAACTCTTTCTTCAAATCTCTGTAGTTGCCCTTATTTCATTTTAAACCTACCTCAGCACGTTACTAGATTTAAAACAGCCAGTTCCCAGATTGGTTCTGCAACATACTGCTCTGAAAAGCCAATCCCTGGTACGGTCTCAATATTTACCTTCCACGTCACTCTAGTCCATCTGATTTGTCCAGTCAGTATGGCCAACCCACAGCAATGTGGTTGACTCTTAATTTCTATCTATGCAATTAGGGATGAGTAATAAATACTGGCCTGGCCAGTGATTTTACGTGCCATGAAGTTTATTATTGAAAGTGCAGATTAAAATCACCCATGACAACTGTAGTGTCCTCCTTGCATGCCTCCATTATTTTCCAAATTTACTTTCTCCTAGATTGAGACAAGTCTTCAGGGACCTATAGGTAATTCTCACATGTGCTTTCTTTGCCTTGTTATTCCTTACTTCCACCAAAACTGATTCTTCACCATGATCCAAAATACCTGCAGCACTACTCACCACTGTACTAATACCTTTTTATTAACAAAACTACCCTTTTCCTTTTTGCTAATTCTTCTGGAATGTTGAATGCCCAGGAATATTGATTGGTCACCCTGTAACAACATCTCCATGATAGCTATCAAGTCGTAATCATTTATTTCTATTTGTGCTGTTAACTCCTCTATCTTGTTAGATATACAGCATGCATTCACATTCAGATAAAGAACTTTAAGCTTTGACTTTTTACAATTTTTGCTCTCTCTGGTTCTAATTTCTGCTGCACTCTGCTGCATATATTTTCTACCCCTACTTGTCACACTTTGAATTATTATAAAACAAAGAAAAGCTGAAAAAGAGATAGCAAGAACTAAGAATAAGAAAATGGGTTAGATGTGCTGAATGCAACCAGCATAATGGAATAATGGGCTTGTGGTATGTGGGAATGGGTAAATATTGCCAAAAGCAACCTATGTCATAACAGGACTGGATGTCCAGTGGGTAAAATGGATGGAAGGTTAGAATCAGGCTCTAAAGGTATTAAACTCGATGTGGAGTCCTGAACAGTGTGCAGTTCTGCACTGTCCCCAAGCAGAAAATGAGGTACAAAAGCAGAAGTTGCTGGAAAAGCTCAGCAGGTCCAGCAGCATCTGTGAAAAGAAATCAGAGTTAATGTTGCAGGTCTGGTGACCCTTCCTCAGAACTGATGGTAGCTAAGAAATGTCGGTTTATATGCAGCAGATAGGGTGGGGAGAGAGAATAAGGGGTAGATGATAGGTGGGGATACAGCTCAAAGAGAGTGGAGAACAGTTCGATAAACAAAGGAGTAGATAACGATCTGGCTAAGAGGATTTAAAAGCTGTTAATGGAGACTATTAGTGGCTGACAAAAGGTGGTATGTAATGGCAGACAATGTAATAAACAAGGCCTAGTGAGTGGTTTAGGGGGTTAGGACATGGGAGAGTTCAGGCCCTAAAGTTATTGAACTTGATATTGGGTTGCAGGGTCCCCAGCGGATGCATTGAGGTTCACTGGAACACTGCAGCAAGCCGGAGACGGAGATGTTGACCAGGGAACAGGGTGGTGTGTTAAAGTGGCAAGCAACAGGTAGCTCAGGGTCTTTTTTGTGAGCAGAATGTAGATGTTCTGCAAAATGGTCAGCCAGTCTACGCTTCGTTTCCCCAATGTAGAGGAGACCACATTGTGAGCAGTGAATGCAGTAGACTAGATTGTGAGAATTGCAGGTAAAGTACTGCTTCACTTGAGAAGTATGTTTGGGCCCTTCGATACTGGGGGAGGGAGGAGGTAAATGGGCAGGTGTTACACCTTTAGAGGTTGCAGGGGAAAGTGCCGTGGGGCTGTTGGGCGTGAAGGAAGAGTGGACCAGGGTGTCCTGGAGGGAATGGTCCTTGCAGAAGGCTGACAAGGAATGTGTATGGTGGTGGCACCTCACTGGAGGTGGTGGAAATGGTCGCTGATGATCTTCTGGATGTGAATGCTGGTGGGATGGTAGATAAGGACCTGGGGAACCCTATCGCTGTTGCAGGAGGGAAGAGAGGGGGTGAATGTGGAAGTGCACGAGATGGATAGGACCTGGTTGAGGGCCCTGTTGATAACGGTGCTGAGGAATCCTCCGTTGAGGAAGAAGTTGGACATTTTGGCGGCTCCCTCGTCAAAGTTGGCCTGATTAGAACATATGCGACGGAGATGGAGGATCTGGGAGACTGGAATGGAGTGTTTACAGGAAGTAGGGTGCAAGGATATATAGCCCAAGTGGCTGTGCGAGTTGGGTTTATCACAGATGTGAGTGGCCAGTCTATCCCCAGAAACAGATGTCAAGGAAAAGGAGGGAGGAGTCAGAGATAGACCAGGTGAAAGTGAAGGCGGGGTGGAAATTGGAAGCAAAATCAACTAACTTTTCCAATTCCGGTCAAGAGAGGGAAGCAGCACTGATGATAACATTGATATGTCGGAGAAAGATTATGGGTGGGGGCCGGAATAGGATGCGATGATGTTCTTTGAGCTTGTGCTGAGGATCGCTGGAACACTGCAGCAGGCCTACAACAGAAATGTTAGCCAGGGAGCATGCTGTTGTGTTGAAATGGTAGGCAACAGATACATTGGGGTCACTTTTTGCAAACAGAATGTGGGAGTTCTGCAAATCAGTCACCCAGTCTGCGTTTCAGTTCTCCAGTGTAGAGGAGACTACATTATGAACAGTGAATATAATAGACTGGATTGAGTGAAATACAGGCGAATTGCTGCTTCAAAGTTTTTGAGAATGTTTGGCTCGTCGAGCGAGTCTGCAACTTCATCCACGACCCGAGATACAATGTGTTTGATTGCAGACGTTTCGTCACCCTGCTAGGTAACATCATCAGTGTGCCTCCAGTGAAGCGTTGGTGTTCTGTCCTGCTTGTTATTTATATGCTTTGGTTTGCTGGGGTGGTTGGTATTACTTCCGGTGCTGTTTTTCAGTGGTTTGTATATCAGGTCCAGTTCAATGTGTTTGTTGACAGAGTTCCAGGATGCCAGGCCTCCAGGAATTCTCTGGCATGTCTCTGTTTGGCCTCTTTACCTAAAAGTCCCCTAGAGGAATCAAAAGACCTGCAAAGAAATGGTTGCCCTGTATGTGAGAGAAACAGAATCTGTGAGCAATTGTTTCTCCAGTCAGATTCTATCCTGCTCATGTTGCTCAATCTCCTCTCTGCTGCTGCTCTGATCACAATCTGCCATTGGAGGAGCAGCTAGAGTATGAAAAAAGGATCCTGTAATTGTCTTGTCCCAGGGCCACATGCAGGGGTTCAGCTGTACTGTTGTCAGTCACTTCTCAAGGAGGAGAAGCAGAAAATAGGAAGTCTTCGCTGCTAATAAAGCCAAGAACCAGTCATCATGGGCTGAGCCTCGCGAGGTGAGTGCCCAAGGATCCGGGTGTGACTTTTAATCTGAGGTATGCTGACTGGTCCAGTTGCAGATCTTGCTAATCTAATTAAAAAATTAAGTGGTAGAAAGCAAGAAAGGCTACCTCTTAACCTTTGAATGGGATGGAACAGTTTTTGGGTGAAGTTCCTCAAATATGTATGTCAGTTTCCTGATTTTCATAAATAACCAGGACTGCATTTTACGGCTAGTGAGTTAAGTTTAAAGATGGAGGAGTAGGAGGAGTCAGAAGGCTTCAAAGTCTGAGATGGATGACAAAGCAGTGTTTACATCTTGAATAAGTCAAGTTGAAAACATCTTAAATTTGTGTAGCACATTTCACATATTGAAGCATTACAAGGCGCTTTACAGGAGAATTAGGAGATCTCTAGATTAAGGAGGGCAAAATGCAAGCAACTACCCAGAATTGTGTTGGAATAGTTGTGTCTACAGGTAATGAAAACATGATTGAGGGTTTCAGCAGGTTCCAAATTAAAATGGTTTATTAAATTCATACAGAATTTGTACTACCATATTATTTAAAGAGGGAAACCTTAAAGAAAATCACAAACCAAATACATAAGATAATGATGCTATGTAACTACAATTGCTAATAAGAGTTAATGAAAAGGGAGCCCCTGCAAACAAAAAGATAAACCCCTGCAAACAGAATATATCCTTAAGAACAGTCCTCTGGTTGAATATCCAGAATAAAAATCAAAGATCTACTGAACTCTGCCTTTTGTAATACAGTCTGTAGGTCATACGCTATCAAATTTGGTTCATTAAATTTACTTACTGTTTAGAATTTTGAAGTTGGGGTATGAATTGACTGAGATAACAAGGTGTAGCGCTGAATGAACACAGCAGGCCAAGCAGCATCAGAGGAGCAGGAAAGCCGACGTTTCGGGTCTGGACCCTTCTTCAGAAATGGGGGAGGGGAAGGGGATTCTGAAATAAATAGAGAGAGGGGGAGGCGGATGGAAGTTGGATAAAGGAGCAGATAGGTGAAGAGGAGACGGACAGGTCAAGGAGGCGGGGATGGAGCCAGTAAAGGTGAGTGTAGGTGGGGAGTTAGGATGGGGATTGGTCAGTCAAGGGAAGACTGATAGGTCAAGGAGACGGGGTAGTTAGGGGGTGGGGGTGGGGTAGGTCAGTGAGGTGAAAGGACCGGATAGGTGGGAGAAAAGACGGACAGGTCAAGGAGGCAGAGACGAGCTGGGCTGGTTTTGGGATGAGGTCGGGGGTGGGGAGATTTTGAAGCTTGTGAAGTCCACATTGAGACCATTGGGCTGCAGGGTTCCCAAGCGAAATATGAGGTGCAGTTCCTGCAACCTTCGGGTGACATCGTTGTGGCGCTGGAGGAGGCCCAGGATGGACATGTTGTCCAAGAAGTGGGAGGAGGAGTTGAAGTGGATCGCAACTGGGAGGTGCAGTCGTTTGTCGCGAACCGAGTGTAGGCATAGGCGTAGGAATAAATTGTCTAGTTTCTTTGTTCTATCTTTGCAGCATGGTACCATTGCACATTTACTTCCATGTATTTTTGGAAAGAGTTAGTAGCAATGGCATTCAAGAGCTATATCCAATGGATTTGTTCCCCTATGCATTAAACATCTGTTTAGCTTATAATCTGTTTAATGGCAGTTATCTCTGTTTTCAAAAGTTTTGAAAATGACAAAAGATTATGGCCATTGTAAGTCACCTGCATACAGATTTAACATTTCTTCTTTATTATGCAGGCTATTTGTTCTTAATTTTATTTTAAAAAAAGTTGATTTAGGCTTCATTTTATTTTAGGTGGATTTTGCCTTCATTGTGTGGCAAAGCTTCCCTGAGAGAATTGTGGGATACCCAGCTCGCAGTCATTTCTGGGACAGCACTAAGGAAAGATGGGGTTACACCTCTAAATGGACCAATGATTACTCTATGGTCCTAACAGGCGCTGCTTTCTACCATAGGTATGTACATAGGCAGTAAAACCTTGCTCTTAAACCTTTCTTGTACAATAACAATTTATATTTTTCCTATAAAGCGGAATTCAACCATGTGGAGAATTCAGCAAGTCATTATCTAACTGACTTGTGGCACAGTGTTTTTATCTTTCTTCTAAGACTAAAATTCTCAGTCACAATCCTTGTGGACAGCAGGATAACTTAAATGATGGTTAAGAAAGCACAGAGAATGCTTTGATTTTTTTTAATGGAAAACAAAAGAAGCCATGTTAAACCTTCGCAAATTCCTGTTTAGCCTCAGCTGAAATATTGTGTATAATTCTGGGTGCACCAGACTTGAGGATGGTTGTCAAAGCCTCAAAAAGAGCACAGAGGAAATTTACGAAGAGTCCATTTGCCTTCCCTGTTACCTGCTGAACTTGTATGCTAGCCTTTTGTGATTTATGGAAGAGAACATGCAACGTCCATTTAGACTGCAGCTCTCTGCAGTACATCGCCATTTCAATAACATTCACTCCCCTATACATCCTACCAAAGTGTACAACCTCGCATTTCCCCACATTCTATTCTAACCACCAGGTTTTTCTTCACTCACTGAAAGATAAGGTTGAAGCTTTCACAGCAGTCATCAGCCAGGAGTGCTGAGTGGGTGATCCATCTAGGTCTCCTCCTGTGGTTCCCAGCATTACAGATACCAATCTTCAGCCAATTTGATTCACTCCATGTGATATCAAGAAATGATTGGATGCACTGGATACTGCAAAGACTATGGGCCCTGACAACAATCTAGCAATAGTACTGAAGACTAGTGTTTCAGAACTTGCCATTCCTTTAGCCAAGCTGTTCCAGTACAGTCACAACACTGGCATCTAACCACAATGTGGAAATTTGCCCAAGTATGTCCTTTGCATAAAAAGCAGGACAAATCCAACCTGACCAATTACTGCCCATCAGTAAAGTGATGGAAGGTTTCATCAGCAGTATGATCAAGCAGCACCTGCTCAGCAATAACCTCCTCAGTGACGCCCAGTTTGGGTTCTGTCTGGGCCACTCAACTCCTGACCTCATTACAGCCTTGGTTCAGACATGGACAAAAGAGCTGAATTCCAGAAGTGAGTTGAGAGTGACAGCTGTTGACATCAAGGCTGCATTTGACCGACTGTGGCATCACGAGCCCTAGCAAAACTGGAATCAGTGGGTATCAGGAGGAACCTGTGGTTAGTCATACCTGACACATAGGAAGAAGGTCATGGTTGTTGGAGATAAGTCATCTCAGCTCCAGGACACATCTGCAGGAGTTCCTCACGGTAGTGTCCTAGGCCCAACCATCTTCAGCTGCTTCATCAATGACCTTCCTTCCATCATAAGGTCAGAAATGGGGTTGTTCGCCAATGACTGACTGCACAACATTCGGCACCATTCGTAACTCCTCACACTGAAGCTGTCTGTGTCAAAATGCAACAGATCTGGGCTGAGGGCAAATAACATTCGTGCCACACAAATGCCAGGCTACGACCATCACCAATAAGAGACAATCTAACCACCATTCCTTGACATTCAGTGGTGTTACCATCACTGAATGCTCCACTATCAACATCCTGGGAGTTATCATTGATCAGAAACTCAACTGGACTCACCACATAAATGTAATGGCTACAAGAGCAGGTTAGAGGCTACGAATACTGAGGCGAGTAATTCACCTCCTGACTCCCCAAATCCTGTCCTCCATCTACAAGGACCAAGTCAGGAGTGTGATGGAATACTCCCCACTTGCCTGGATGAGTGCAGCCTCAACAACATTTAAGTGGCTCGACACCATCCAGGACAAAGCAGCCCGCTTGATTGGCACTGCATCCACTCCTTCCACCACCGATACTCAGTAGCGGCAGTGTGTACTATCTACAAGATGCACTGCAGAAATTCACCAAAGATCCTCACGCAGTACTGTCCAAACCCACGACCACTTCCATCTAGAAGGACAAGGGCATCAGATATAATAGGAACACTATCACCTTCAAACTCCCCTCCAAGCCACTCACCATCCTGACTTGGAAATATATCGCTGTTCCTTCACTGTCGCTGAGTCAAAATCCTGGAACTCCCTTCTTAATGGCATTATGGGTCAACCCACAGCAGGTAGACTGCAGCAGTTCAAGAAGGCAGCTTGTTGCCACCTTCTCAAGGGCAACTAGGGACAGGCAATAAATGCTGGCCAGCCAGTGATGCCCACATCCCACAAAATGGATAAATTAAAAAAAAAACTCAACCTGTCCATATCTTTCTGCAGACTGACATCCTCACCTCTGACCTTCGCACCTATTTTTGTATCATCTGCAAAATTTAAAGATAGGGCATTAGTTTCTCTTATCCAAGTTATTAATACGTATCGTAAATAATTGTGGGCCCATCATTGATTCCTGTAACAGTGCACTACTTACAAGTTGCTGCCTTGAAAATATACTCCCTTTTACCCAACACTGTCTTCCATTCATACTGAGAGTCTAGGAAGAGTGTCCTGCATTCAGCATCACAGTGAAGCAGTCCAGGAAGATTGCTTCACCATAGTGGTGACTGCAAAATAGCATAGGAAGTGTGTTCTACAGTGCAGCAGTCCAGGAAGAGAGTCCTGCAAAGAACACCATGGTGAAGTAGACTGGGAAGAGTGTCTCGCAATCAATATTGCAGCAAAGCAGCCCAGGAAGTGTGTCTTGCAATCAGCACCACAATGAAGTAGTCTGGGAAGTGTATCCTGCAGTCACAACTTGTTGAAAAATCAACAGTGTCAATGCAGCAAATCCAAGTTAATTGGCTGGTAAGAAACAACTGTTGGAGACTACCTGTAAATTGCTATTAATTAGGAAAGTCTATTTTTAAGTACTAGAAACAAGTGAAAGTTAAGACCAACATAATGGAGAGGGTGACTGTAAATTATTTGAGTTAGCATTTATAGAGAGGAAGTATTAGTGAGTTTAGCAGGCTTTTGAAGTGGATAAATCCCCAGACCCAGATGAGATGTTTCTCAGACTGCTGTGAAAGGCAAGGGAGGAGATTGCAGGGGCTGTGACATTAATTTTCAAATCCTCTAGCTGCAGAGGAGCTGCCAGAGGACTGGAGGACAGCTAATGTAGTACCATCATTCAAGAAGGGTAGTAGGGATAAACCAGGAAACTGCAGGCCACTAGGTCTAATATCTGTTGTTGTGAAACTATTGGAAAATATTCTGAGGAACAGCAATCAGCTACACTTGAACAAGCAAGGATTAATTATGCATAGTCAGTATGACTTTGTAAGGGAAGATCATGTCTTACAAATTTGATGGAATTTTCGAAGAGGTTGACTACATGTATAGTTGAAGTGATGCATTTGATGCACTCTACATGGACTTCAATAAAGCTTTTGTTAATGTTTTGTATAGCAGATTTGTTGAAGAGCTAAGATGATGTTTGGATCCAAATTGGCTTAGTGGCAGGAAGCAGAGAGGTTGATGGTTGAAGGGTATTTTTATGAATGAAAACTGTCCACTGGCATACTGCAGGGCATTGGTGCGTCCCTTGCCGCTTGTTGTGTACATTAATGATCTAGACATGAACGTAGGAAGTGAGATCAGTTAATTCGCAGATGACACAAAAATTGGTGGTGTAGTATATATTGAGGAGGAAAGCAATAAACTGCAGGATGATAGCTAGGCTGAGCAGTGGCATATGGGATATAATCCTGAAAAGTGAGAGAGAATGCATTTTTGGAGGACTAACAAGGCAAGGAAGTACATGTTAAATAGGAAAAGTAGAAAGGATAAGCAGGATCTTAATCTGTACGTACATAGATCTTTGAAGGTAGTCAGACAGATAGAACAAAGAACAATACAACACAGGAACAGGCCCTTTGGCCCACCAAGACTGCATCAACCCATGATGGCTTTCTAAACTTAAAAAATAGGTGGTTGAGAAGACATATAGGATGCTCACTAAACAAAAAACTGAAAAAAATTCCAGATCCTGGAAATTCGAAACAAAAGCAGAAATTGCTGGAAAAACTCAGCAGGTCTGGCAGCATCTGTGAAGAGAAAGCAGAGTTAACATTTCAGGTCCAGTGACCCTCCTTCAGTATGAGATAGGATACTTGACTTTATTAGTCAAGGCATTCAACACGAGTAAAGAGGTTATGATGTTAGTTAGCCCACACCTGGAGTACAATGTGCAGTTCTGATTGTCATGCAATAGGAAGATATGATTGCACTGGAGAAGGTTCAGAAGCGATTCACCACGGTGTTACCTGGGGTGA